CAGATAAGTTATTACGAACAATTACATAAAATTGTAGTAATTTTTATACTTCTAGGTGTTGAGTTATACGTGACAAATTCATATACAATGTGAGAAATTTTGCTGTTACGTTAATCGATCGTTAATGAACTATGGAAACACAAATTAAGGAGAAATTCGAAATATGTCAGGATATAAAAAAAGGAAGATGTTTAAATACTTAAGCAACGATCACTAATAAAATAAAACAGTATTAACACAACTATTCTAAAATTTATTTTACATAAAAGACTATGTCTATTATAACATAACTTGGATCAAACGAAGTTGCTAAAGTAACATAATTCTTTTTATCTTGGGGATTAATATGTTAATATTGGGTGGTTCGAAAAGTTCGTAGCGAAATGTAAGAAAAATTCAAACAGACGTATCTCCGTTTCTAATCGAGATAGCGACAAAAACCAAAAGGTATTTTACTCGTTATTTGAAGATAAATCCAATGCACACCTAAAATTACTCCTAAAGCGAATTTTTTTCACGAAAAATTCAATATCCTAGCTCCACTGCAAAGAATATAATTCGATTTATATCCACCTCCGTTCACCTTACGAATTATGTTAATAGTGCGTTGAATTCACCTTCAACTCTAACTTTTATAGCTACGTCAATTAGAATCAGAGATACGGCGACGGTTTAAATTTAGCTACGAAAACGTTCCGAGAAAATCGAGAGAGAAAATGAGAGGAACTCGGTGGAATTTGGAAGGATAAGTTTCCAAGCTGAAACAATTCCCAGATTAAGTGTTGAGATACCGGTTACCAATAAACGGCAAAACGAAGTCGTAGGAAGAGACGGGACAGAAGAGTAGATTGGCTTTTGTTCTCAGCTGTTCGCGAACCATACTTCGGATCGATCTGTCCACTTTCGATCGGGATAGAGGATCTTCTCCGTATTATCGAGCCCCTAGAAGACGGCGGCGTGTCTTCACAAAGGTAGAACTCGTTGGAACAATGCGATCTTCGACGAGAAAGAATCCGGAGAGACGAACCAAGGAGATAGCGATACGAGGAATGAAAGAAGGAACACCACTATCGAAGCTCGGCGGAAGGAGGGAGAAAGGACGTGGAGAGGAATAGAGACAGCGTGAAAGGGAGAGAAGAAAATAGACGGCGAGGGGAGACAAAGGTGAAGAAGAGACGAGACGAGAAGAAAAGAGAAAGAACGTCAAGAAGTCTGATGGGTTACCCGCCCAGAACGTCGATGCAACGTCATTGTTGGTGACCATAGTATGTATAAGTTCCTTGTAAGCTTGAATCCTGTGGATACTTAAACGCTCTGCGTGCCTATTAATCGGGATACGTTGAACGAAGGAAATTGACATTGGAAAAATTGTGGTGTAAATTTGAAAAAATGAATTAAATCAGTTTTATTTCGAGCGCAGACACGATTTCGTTTCCTTGGGAAAAAGGATGCATTGTTGAACAGAATGGAAGAAAATTGCGAGTAAAAAATTGATCGGGATACGTTGAACGAAGAAAATTGACATTGAAGAAATTGTGGTGTAAATTTGAAAAAATTAATCGAATCGGTGTTGTTTCGTGTGCAGATACGATCTCATTTCCTTGGGAAAAGGATGCATTGTTGAACAGAATGGAAGAAAATTGCGAGTAAACAAAATTCGTTTGACAAACTTCACTGTGTACATTCGTAGAATTGTTGAATATTAACGATGAACTTTTCATTATCCTTTTTCAATCAAAAATTCACCTTCGGTGTATTTTTAAATGTATAAATGTTTTTTTTAAGAATTTTTCTGGGAATGAATATTTAAAGTGCGTCTAATATCGTTTAGCAAGTAATATTTTGTAAACATAGTGCTGAAATGTGTTGGTAGTAGAGTGAACTAATAGCCAAAAATGTGTAGGAAGGCATCTTATGTTTGCAGCGACACTTAAGCTGAATTTTTATAGTGAAAACATTTATCGAGACGTGACAATTTGTCCAAAAAATTTGTCAAGGGCTTCTAAGATATTGATATGGCTAAAAATAATAAATATACGGATGAATGTAATCTTAAAAATTCAGAAATACGCGAATTAATCAATATTTGCACTTTTTCAAGATCTCGATTTTTGCTTGTCCCGTGTTTCTCCAATTATAATTGAAAATCCTTAGATTTTAATAGTTCTAACTTGCCAAACGTGAAGCATAAACACTAAAAGCAATTTCTTTCTCATTTGAGACTAATTAGATACAAAAATATCAATTATCCTTCAATTGAAGGCGACTCGAATTTTGCTACGCGAAATTAGGTGCACTTATCCTATTTCATTTCATTAGTTCATCCTACAGCATTATTTCATTTACACAAAATTAACAGAACTTGCACAAATGTGTAAAATCTGATATCTGATTTCAAAAATATCTGATAAAAAAAAGAAAATAAAACGAAGACACAGATGTGTAAGAAGAAGATAAGGGACGAAGATTTTCAAACATTCTCACGTACACAGAGCATTAAACGAAAAACAAAATGAAAAGCTGACAGCTTGGGGTTCAAAACATGCTCCAAGATTACCGAAGGCTCACGGAATCATTCTTTCTCGCCTAATCTCTCTGGGGTCCACCGACCATGGCTTCCATAGGTTCTGGCAGGATTATACTTTTGATTGATCTATGACCGATTACCACGATAGGAGTCCACATGCAGAAGCTTGATAAGAATTAAAAGATGCCTGCAGCGAAGAGGACAACTTCGATTTACAAGTAATTCGTAGCTTGTATAAAATATATTAGGTCATCCCGTAAGTTTGTGCCGAAATCGACAAATATTTTTATGAAAATTCAAGGTAATTCTATAGCAACGACGTAATGATCTTACAAAAATAATAAAATAAAGAAAAGTTGTGAAACGAGAAGGTACTTACGTTTCTTTCATCAAATTTGAATTATAAAATTCGACGCGAACTTATGGAATGACCTAATAGTAATAGCTCTTTGAAATTATTAGGTCTACAAATAAATTCGATGCCTTTTTTCGCAAACTTCAAAATTAATTTCTAAAAAAAACAAACACAGTTTTAATCTCCCAAATAATAGAGATTTTGAACGACAATTTTTTCCTATTTATCAAGAAATTGACGAATTTCCTCTCTGGAAATTGAAAATTAATTTCCAAAAAAAACAAACACAGTTTTAATCTCCCAAATAATAGAGATTTTGAACGACAATTTTTTCCTATTTATCAAGAAATTGACGAATTTCCTCTCTGGAAAAGTATGACGATTTTGAGTAGACAAGGCGGTCAAGAATTTTTGAGAGAAGGCACCGAATTTAATTCGTATATCTAACAACAAAATAAATTTTCTTAGAAAACGTTTGAATGTTAATATGTAGAAAAATGCAACGCGATTGTGTATAAATATAGATACAGGTATTTTCTGAGCACGATTCGAACAACTATTTATAAGAAGCGAAACAGCCGGTTAAGAGATTGTAAAGAGATAGCCACCCCGAGTGTCGAATTCTTCTATTCGTCGAGCGAGTGGCGTTACCTTTGTTTGATGCCACACCAACGACTTTACAAATCGATATTGATCTATCGACACGGATCGCTTGCCTTACATGGTCGTATCTACTAGAGTATTAATGTGATCAAATCTTGACCTTTTTTTTTTTTGCTTTCTCCGTTGTCTCTGATGAACGATAAAGCTTCACAGATTTGAGCGCTATTTTAGATAGTTGACTTTTTCCGGCGATTGTACCGGGAGGAACTTATTTTTACGAAATATTACCGGCGCATGAAAATGTACATTTAAGTATAACTTTATGAGACACTTGGATACATCGTAAAATGAAAATATTAGGGTTAGTCAGGAAATAAGTTACACCTTCCCTTTAAAAAAGAAATAAACGAATGCAAAAAAATTTTTAAACGCAGTTTGACTTTCCTCGTGTACAAAATCTTTACAAATATTTCACCTATCAACGTGTCAGAGGAGCTTTGAAATTTGGCCATTTGAACAAAATCGAGAGAATTCCAATAAATATCGAAAATACGAAAACTTCTCAACCCTTTCGCTACGACTGATTTTAACGCGTAACATGGGTGACTGAGGGTAAATTTTTAACCACGGCTGCAAAATTTGTTATTTTGACCGCATCGTTTTAAAATTCGGTTCATTAAATTAAGGTGGAAGTGCACCAAAAGGCTCCAAGACAGTATAGCGCGAGAAAATTTTCAAAACGCCTGTAGACGCCAATAGTAATGAAAGGGTTAATCAAAATCCCGAAATGTTGAAAATAAGAAGAAATGTAATGTCAAAGTTTACACGTTCGAGACGGAAACTTATTAAAATTATCATTATATTAAAATAGACAGAAATCTGAGAAGCTAAAGATCCGAAACCTCAGTCAGGGCCGTACGAAGTCTACTTTCCTTTTGATTGAGCCTTAATTAAAAAACGAAAACTGTCACACTTGACTCTGACAAATATATTACCGCATCAATCAATGCCGCTACTTAATGCTTGAATTCACGACTCGTTATATTTCTTCCACCGACTCCAAGTGTAAACGACAATTTGTTGAACCGTCTGACCAAGACTGTTCGCGGTATGAAAGCTTCGGTGGGAGTGTCATGCGGCAAAAGAACCGCAACTGTTAGTGTAACGTCAGCCTAATTGTAAGATGAGACTTTCTATCGCCGGCAATCGCAGAGACATAAGACACAAAAGACGGAAAGATTGAACGTCAAAGCAATCTGCCGGAAAAGGTGCGTAAGAACAACAACGTGAAAGCAGAAAGTGTCCGACATTTGATAAACAATAAGTCATTAATAGCTAATTGTGGTCTGTAAACAGGTGAAAGCACCCTAGATATTCGAGTTGCTTTACGTTTCGAGATGTTTTTTTTTACCGAAGGTCTCGATAAACTCGAAGTAAAATTGAATTTGAATTGGTTCCAAAATAAATTGCTGTCGGTAAAAATGAAACGTCGAAGATAGTAATAGGTGTACAAACCTTTTCGTTGCTCGCATTGATCGCTTCTAAGGCTTTCAACTTTTCAATTTCATCGTCGCTTCTTTTCTCCGATGTGGACACCTTTTTCGTAGCTGTTGTTGGTTCGACCAATGTAAATCCGAGGTCCACATCTTGCTTCCAGAGCACTTCGATTAAATCCATGTCCTGAAATGAAGGAAAACGGTCTTTTAAATATGTTCATTAACGTTAATTGTCATCTTATAAAGTGAAACACGTAAGTAAAATATTTTGGTACGGAATATAAATGTGAAGATAAACTTATAGTTCGCGAAATCTGCAGAAACAAGAATTTTAAGTTATATGTTAAACTTTGCATTAAATTAAAACAAATGAAATATTTCTGAAAATCTCTTGTTTTCGGTTTGAAAGGAACAATCATTTTAATAAGGGTTTCTACTAGGAAATTTACTAGAAATTTAACAAGTTCACATCCTATATGGGATACAGTGATTTATTTTTTGAAAATTGCAATTTACTAAATTTTTAAAACTAAGTAAACCTTGCTCATTACCGAGATATTAATGTAAATGACTGAATAAATATTTCGACTGATATGAATATATATTATTAATACGAATTAAACGAATTAATCACCGAGAATTTGCATCTTTTATAATATGAATGACCCTTTCAAAAGCATAATTAATATTAGGACAATGTATAGATAATAACAACCCTTAAATAATCTGAATCATTAAAAATACCATCAAATATTCACCCAAAATTCCATCATATACCTATTAATATTCGAAGGAGTTAGAAATATAAGAATTGAATATAAAAATATATTTATATACTCATTCTTA